AGAAGAGAAGAGAAGAGAAGAGAAGAGAAGAGAAGAGAAGAGAAGAGAAGAGAAGAGATATATTAGTGGATTACACAGGGTTGAGAGCCCAAACAGCAGAGAAAACTCCCAAAACAGAGGTGTGATTTATCCAAATCCTCATCCTGCCCTGGGTGGCCACTCAGAGATGCAAATTCCCGCTTGTGGACCCACCTGCTGCCATTGGATTTGCAGCATCAGCATCTCAGTGGGGTTCAAGGAGCTCAAACATTCCATCCAAATGAGCAGCTCCAAAATAATTTCACCAGGAGCCTCCTTGGAGGCTCATTCCCAAAGCAGGCACCCAAACTGCCCAGCACAGGAGCACAGGGGCTGAAATGGGGCCGAAAATCCAATTTTCTCCCGTTAAATGGGAGCGGTTGGAGCCGTCCCGGTTTAACCAGCACCGGGAGAGAAATCCCAGGAATCCCTGTGGGCTGGGAAACGTCCTGTCATCCCAAGTGTGAGCTGGGCCTCCCTTCCCAGAGCTTCCCAGGGGGGTGGATCCGGGTGGATACTCACGGACAATGCACTGGTTCCCTCCGGGCAGCGTTTTCCAGCCGGGACAGCAGTAGGAATGGAACCTGGAGCCGCAGACGTTGGGCCTGAAAAGGAAAAAATATGGGTTTTCCTCTGGTTCTGGGCAGTGCCAGGGGGTAAATCCAGCTGTGGCACAGCTGCAGGACGGCAGGGAATGGCTCCTGCCAGGATATTTCCCTGGCAAACCCCGTTCCCTGTTAAATGGGATAAGTCGTGTTTAATTCCCACTGAATTTTAATAACTGATTGTGCCCTCGTGTGCAGAATGCTTTGGGTTAAAAACCTTTGCTTTGGGTTAAAAACCTTTGCTTTGGGTTAAAAACCTTTGCTTTGGGTTAAAAACTCAATTTAAAAAGCTCCAAAAGGGTTGGTGGATCTGTTTGGGGTTTTTTGTTTGTTTTTTTTTTTTTAAATCCTGATTCATCCCTGACTGTCCAGAGCAACAAATAAATCTCATTTTCCAGGGAGCAGCCTCCCTTTATTTATTTCCCTGTTATTTACTTCCCTGTTATTCTGCCACCAGCAAGGAACACGATTTGGTGCTTGGGTTGGGGGGGGGTGTGAAGGGTAAATCTGGATTTTAGTCCCAATTTTTCCAAAAGCCTGGGCCTGAGGTTGGCACAAACTGGGAAGAAAAGTTCACTCTGAGAAGAGGAGAAATTTTAACTGATATCCCCATATATTTATATTATAGATATATTTATATTTTTAAACTTATAGTGAATTTATACATAATATATATTTATAATGAATTTATATCTGTTTACACTTACAGTGAATTTATATCAAATACATGGAGACATATAGACAGATATATCCCTATATTTGCTAAGAAGAGTGGGATGAGATTCCAGAGGAGAGGAGAACATGGTGCTGCCACCAAACAGCCAAGAAAATGCTGTTTACAGAGGAATTTTAACTAATGTAAAAATATATTTATATTATATATAATTGATATTTTTATACTCATAGTGAATTTATATCTAATCTATATTTATAATTAATTTATATCTAATATATTTGTGCTTATAGTGAAATTATATCTAATATATATTTATATATTAATACTAAATTAATATTAATATTAATATTAAATATATATTTATGTGTATATATATTTATATGTTTACCTTTATAAATATATATTTATATATTTACCTATAAAAATATATATTTATAGTGAATTTCTAATTTCAGGTCCTGCAGAATCTCATTTCAGCACAGGGATGGGACCAACCATCCAAAGAACATTAATTTTTAATATTAATCCCCCAACAGTCATCCAACCTTGACCTCAGGATACTTCAAGCCTTGGTGGAGATTAAAGAATATTCCAGAGCCATTTTATCAGGCAAAAGACTCGGAGAGGTTTTAGTTTTGGGGGGTGAAGGAAAAGGAATTTGGCCAAAATCAGTGAAGGAAGAGGAATTTGGCATCAATCCTGTGGGTCAAGACAGAAGGAAGTTGAATGAAATTGGTAACAAAGTGGAATATTTTGAATTTTGGTGGCAAATCCCAGCTCTTTCCAAAAGAAATTCGGCCAAGGATTCCACCCAGCTCCGTGCAGGGATGCTGGGAGAGGTGCTGGGCACCCTTTTCCACGGAGGGTAAAACTCCAAAATCCCAATTTTTCCTCCCAAACCGGCCCTTTGGGAAGCATATGCTAAAAATTAGCCGGAGTTTCAAAACAAACCACGGGGAGAATCCAGTTTGAATGGGCTGAGATTAATCTGGTGGCCCAGGAATGACCTGGAGGGAGAATGAAATCGGATTCCAGAGCAACAACTCAGCGAGGAGAAGGGTGTTTTGTAAGGAAAATAAAACAATAAAAGACCATCTTCAGCAGATTTGGGACAAAAACGCTTTTTAAAATGAACACAGCTCTCTCCAGGTTGGGAAATAAAAGCTGGAATCCCATCAGTGGGGATAAAAGGGATGCCGTGGAATTATGGAATCCTGGAATGGTTTGGGTGGGAAGGGGCCTTAAAGATCATCCAGTGCCCCCCCCTGCCATGGGCAGGGGCACCTTCCACTATCCCAGGGTGCTCCAACCCGGCCTTGGACACTCCCAGGGATGGGGCAGCCACAGCT